ATGGGCATTTTTTTTTTTTTGTTGCTGTGGAGAGTGAAGAAGAAGTTGGATGCTAGAGACTTTGATCAGTTGTTTTTGTGATTAGTAGCGAAGTGCTATATACAGTTTCGTAAATGGCTGAAGAATCGGACAAGTGGACGATTGTTAAGGGGGTTTAAGGGTTGTTTATGGATGAGTGGACAAAGTGCCTCTGAATGCTTCTCTTCTTGTAAAAACTTAGGATCCTACTTGAGAGTTGAAGACTTGGTAAAATATCTTGAAATCTTCTATCTTGAGATTTCTCCCCTTCTTAATTTTTTTTGGGAAAATTGCTTCCAGCCCCCAAAACAACACAGAACGTGCTCTGCCCCCCCAAGACCTTTTCAACGTGCCTTTTACCCCTAAAACCGCCCCCGATTTTCTTCCAGCCCCCAAAACGAATCCCCAGGCCACCTTCCGTTTAAACACCGCTCGAAATGCCCAAAATACCCTTCGCAGCATGTGTTCGTCGCCCTCTCACGACGGAAACCCATCGTTTCGACTGTAGGCATTAAATGGTGATATGAATGACTTTTTTGGGGGGGAAAATTCCCATTTCCCTCCAAAATTATCTGAGTTCCTCCCCATTCTATTACCCCAACTAATTTGTTCCTTCCACTTAATTCCCCTCAATAAAATCCTCTTCGATTCTTCAACTACTCACTGTAATAAAATGGCGGATGGATCTCTTCTATGCGTAGTAACGAAGGCAAAAAGCAACAAAGGTGGTGACGGTGTATTCGTCGTTATCAAAGAGAATACATAAATAATCAGCTTGAAATATCGAGTGGCGGAAAGGCTTAAAATACCAATGCAATCTCTTTCACTGAAGTTCATATGCGAAAGGGAAAAGAAATTCAGCATTTCAATTGACAATGACGACGACTTAAATTTGATGTTCGAGTATTGTCGGCGTAATGGATTTACAGACGCGAATTTGTATGCCACATCCGCTGCGGAATCCTCAACTTCGCAGAACACGCAGACTACGCCGGAAAATTTCTGTTGTTAAACTTATGGAATGGTAGCTAACATTAGCTCCTTGTTGTAATGCTTAGCTCTCTGTTGTTAGGCTTATGGATTAAGAAGATCACGGGGTCGTATTGTTGATGTTATGGTTTTGTTATGAAAGATCATGGACTGGCTGTCAAGGTTATGTGCTGGTTGTCATGCTTATGGATTGGTTGCTAAGGTTAGCGCCCTATTGTTAAGGTTATGGGTTGGTTGCTAAGGTTAGAGTCCTGTTGTTAAGGTTAGTGCTCTGTTGTCAAGCTTATGTATTGGTTGTTAAGGTTAGATTTCTGTTGTTAAACTTATGGAATGGTAGCTAACATTAGCTCCTTGTTGTAATGCTTAGCTCTCTGTTGTTAGGCTTATGGATTAAGAAGATCACGGGGTCGTATTGTTGATGTTATGGTTTTGTTATGAAAGATCATGGACTGGCTGTCAAGGTTATGTGCTGGTTGTCATGCTTATGGATTGGTTGCTAAGGTTAGCGCCCTATTGTTAAGGTTATGGGTTGGTTGCTAAGGTTAGAGTCCTGTTGTTAAGGTTAGTGCTCTGTTGTCAAGCTTATGTATTGGTTGTTAAGGTTAGATTTCTGTTGTTAAACTTATGGAATGGTAGCTAACATTAGCTCCTTGTTGTAATGCTTAGCTCTCTGTTGTTAGGCTTATGGATTAAGAAGATCACGGGGTCGTATTGTTGATGTTATGGTTTTGTTATGAAAGATCATGGACTGGCTGTCAAGGTTATGTGCTGGTTGTCATGCTTATGGATTGGTTGCTAAGGTTAGCGCCCTATTGTTAAGGTTATGGGTTGGTTGCTAAGGTTAGAGTCCTGTTGTTAAGGTTAGTGCTCTGTTGTCAAGCTTATGTATTGGTTGTTAAGGTTAGATTTCTGTTGTTAAACTTATGGAATGGTAGCTAACATTAGCTCCTTGTTGTAATGCTTAGCTCTCTGTTGTTAGGCTTATGGATTAAGAAGATCACGGGGTCGTATTGTTGATGTTATGGTTTTGTTATGAAAGATCATGGACTGGCTGTCAAGGTTATGTGCTGGTTGTCATGCTTATGGATTGGTTGCTAAGGTTAGCGCCCTATTGTTAAGGTTATGGGTTGGTTGCTAAGGTTAGAGTCCTGTTGTTAAGGTTAGTGCTCTGTTGTCAAGCTTATGTATTGGTTGTTAAGGTTAGATTTCTGTTGTTAAACTTATGGAATGGTAGCTAACATTAGCTCCTTGTTGTAATGCTTAGCTCTCTGTTGTTAGGCTTATGGATTAAGAAGATCACGGGGTCGTATTGTTGATGTTATGGTTTTGTTATGAAAGATCATGGACTGGCTGTCAAGGTTATGTGCTGGTTGTCATGCTTATGGATTGGTTGCTAAGGTTAGCGCCCTATTGTTAAGGTTATGGGTTGGTTGCTAAGGTTAGAGTCCTGTTGTTAAGGTTAGTGCTCTGTTGTCAAGCTTATGTATTGGTTGTTAAGGTTAGATTTCTGTTGTTAAACTTATGGAATGGTAGCTAACATTAGCTCCTTGTTGTAATGCTTAGCTCTCTGTTGTTAGGCTTATGGATTAAGAAGATCACGGGGTCGTATTGTTGATGTTATGGTTTTGTTATGAAAGATCATGGACTGGCTGTCAAGGTTATGTGCTGGTTGTCATGCTTATGGATTGGTTGCTAAGGTTAGCGCCCTATTGTTAAGGTTATGGGTTGGTTGCTAAGGTTAGAGTCCTGTTGTTAAGGTTAGTGCTCTGTTGTCAAGCTTATGTATTGGTTGTTAAGGTTAGATTTCTGTTGTTAAACTTATGGAATGGTAGCTAACATTAGCTCCTTGTTGTAATGCTTAGCTCTCTGTTGTTAGGCTTATGGATTAAGAAGATCACGGGGTCGTATTGTTGATGTTATGGTTTTGTTATGAAAGATCATGGACTGGCTGTCAAGGTTATGTGCTGGTTGTCATGCTTATGGATTGGTTGCTAAGGTTAGCGCCCTATTGTTAAGGTTATGGGTTGGTTGCTAAGGTTAGAGTCCTGTTGTTAAGGTTAGTGCTCTGTTGTCAAGCTTATGTATTGGTTGTTAAGGTTAGATTTCTGTTGTTAAACTTATGGAATGGTAGCTAACATTAGCTCCTTGTTGTAATGCTTAGCTCTCTGTTGTTAGGCTTATGGATTAAGAAGATCACGGGGTCGTATTGTTGATGTTATGGTTTTGTTATGAAAGATCATGGACTGGCTGTCAAGGTTATGTGCTGGTTGTCATGCTTATGGATTGGTTGCTAAGGTTAGCGCCCTATTGTTAAGGTTATGGGTTGGTTGCTAAGGTTAGAGTCCTGTTGTTAAGGTTAGTGCTCTGTTGTCAAGCTTATGTATTGGTTGTTAAGGTTAGATTTCTGTTGTTAAACTTATGGAATGGTAGCTAACATTAGCTCCTTGTTGTAATGCTTAGCTCTCTGTTGTTAGGCTTATGGATTAAGAAGATCACGGGGTCGTATTGTTGATGTTATGGTTTTGTTATGAAAGATCATGGACTGGCTGTCAAGGTTATGTGCTGGTTGTCATGCTTATGGATTGGTTGCTAAGGTTAGCGCCCTATTGTTAAGGTTATGGGTTGGTTGCTAAGGTTAGAGTCCTGTTGTTAAGGTTAGTGCTCTGTTGTCAAGCTTATGTATTGGTTGTTAAGGTTAGATTTCTGTTGTTAAACTTATGGAATGGTAGCTAACATTAGCTCCTTGTTGTAATGCTTAGCTCTCTGTTGTTAGGCTTATGGATTAAGAAGATCACGGGGTCGTCGTATTGTTGATGTTATGGTTTTGTTATTAAAGATCATGGACTGGCTGTCAAGGTTATGTGCTGGTTGTCATGCTTATGGATTGGTTGCTAAGGTTAGCGCCCTATTGTTAAGGTTATGGGTTGGTTGCTAAGGTTAGAGTCCTGTTGTTAAGGTTAGTGCTCTGTTGTCAAGCTTATGTATTGGTTGTTAAGGTTAGATTTCTGTTGTTAAACTTATGGAATGGTAGCTAACATTAGCTCCTTGTTGTAACGCTTAGCTCTCTGGTGATGTTATGGTTTTGTTATTAAAGATCATGGACTGGCTGTCAAGGTTATGTGCTGGTTGTCATGCTTATGGATTGGTTGCTAAGGTTAGCGCCCTATTGTTAAGGTTATGGGTTGGTTGCTAAGGTTAGAGTCCTGTTGTTAAGGTTAGTGCTCTGTTGTCAAGCTTATGTATTGGTTGTTAAGGTTAGATTTCTGTTGTTAAACTTATGGAATGGTAGCTAACATTAGCTCCTTGTTGTAATGCTTAGCTCTCTGTTGTTAGGCTTATGGATTAAGAAGATCACGGGGTCGTATTGTTGATGTTATGGTTTTGTTATGAAAGATCATGGACTGGCTGTCAAGGTTATGTGCTGGTTGTCATGCTTATGGATTGGTTGCTAAGGTTAGCGCCCTATTGTTAAGGTTATGGGTTGGTTGCTAAGGTTGATCTCTAAAGCAGTTAGTGGGTTTCTAGCTGTATTAAATGCTTCCATAGTAGATTATGTTTCCAAGACAGCCAGTATTATCATCTGTCTCCTCGTTATTCCCAGCCACCACGCTTTAATTAACCCTCATCCCTTCCCCTGTATCCATGACAAGACCTTTCGACGAAGCCATCAATCTTCACATCACCGCCATTTTCTCCCCATCCCAGCCCCATTAACAACTACACGACCTTCGTTTCGAAACCAGAAGGATCATGTCTCACGATGATAGCGCGTGTATACATTGCCATGGCTCGGGGCATATCTCCCGGGATTGTCCTCATGGTCTTGTAGCAAACAGGGACCCACGATTTCTCCCCGTTCCAGATAACGTCGCCCGCAACATTCAGGAGCTTAGCTCATTCGCTCTCCTCACTATTGAGGTGGGTCTGCCATCTTTGGACGAGCTCAGAGAGATGCTAGGGTATCGCTTCGACGTCTGGGATTGGACCTATGAGATCAAGCTGGTATCTATAAATAGGTTCATGGTTAAATTCCCCTCTGATGAGCTACTAGATCAAGCCGTCCAGCTCAGTCCTGTAAATCTTGGGTCCTTCGTGGGCAGATTCAGGCTTTGGCGGGAGGACCTCAGGCTAAGAGCATTGCCGTACCCCATGTTTAGGTGGATCCGCCTCTTCAATCTCCCCTACCACCTCTGGGAGTTGGAGTTCCTCCAATCACTGTTCGAGGGCATCGGCCAATGCGTGTACTGCTCCGCTGACGTCACCACGAAGACAAACTTCAGAGACTGCAGGGTGCTGCTAGAGATTAGGGAATATTCGGATATCCCTAAGAGGATTAGGTTTCGTTACACCTCTCCCATGGACCGTCGTCTGATGGAAGGTTTCGTCGTCACTCAGCTTGTGGGTGGAGACCGTGAGCAGCAGGCAAACAATGAGCAAGGTCCCAACGACATGTCCGTTGACCAACCTCAAAGCCAGCAACCGCAGCCTTCCCGCGCCGACCCGGAATTGATTGAAGTGTCTTGGGACGGCAGGCAAATGACGGTGGAGAAAGAGCTCTGGCAACGATTTCTCCGGGCCCAAGGTGTTGGGCCGTCTACCCTTCCTCGCGATAGGGGTTCCTACCACGATCGCGCTTCGAGCAAGGGGAGCGGGGGAGGAGCAGTCGGCCCCTAGGTTGTCTTTTATTGTAAATTACCAAATGTTTTGCTGAACTTGATGATGATACGCTCTATTAACTACCTATTAATATGTTTCTGCTAATATAGTGTGTTGTTAAGCTTTTGTGTTTGTTGATGAGTTTACGGTTTTGTTATTGAACTCATGGATTTGTTGTTAATGTTATCCCTTGGGGATCTAGCATATCGTAAACTATTGGCGGACAAATGCAGAAATCTTTTCGAATTTAGTTTGGTTGCATTTGAAGCACAAGTTAGCAGAATCTTGCGATGTTGTTAAGCTTTGCTGTTTGTTGTTGAGGTTACGGTTTTGTTGTTGAACTCATGGGTTTGCTGTTAATGTTATCCCTTGATATCAACCTTATAATAGTTACTTGTACATTGCTATTAACAACAAAGAATTGTAATATATCATTCACAGATCAACCTTATATTGTTTATATTTACCTTTTAATATTTACATGTATATTGTTAGTAACACCAAAGAAATGTAATATATCATTTACAAAAAATCTACATCTCAACGTCATCATCGTCAAGTTTTCCCACCTCTTTTTTCCTCTTCCTGCCTTCAATCAGTAAGTACGCTGCTAGCTTCGCACGAACCACCCATGTGTTATGCTCTTCGGGCGTGACGTGCAGGACATCTCTACCTTCGGTAATCGCTTGTACGAACTGGTAGACATAGATCCCACAGTCATACCTGCACACAACCACAAGGAAGCATTGAGACCATTGTTGCTTTCAATCAAAACATAACAACAAATTCGTAACCTTAACAACCAGTTTCCAACAATGAATACCAACAAGGGTTCCGGCAAACTTACGATCCCTTTTGCTCCTCGCATGGAACTTTGATTGGGTCGAATACGCTGCGCAATTGGTTCTCATTGAAGCCAGCTTTAATGTAGTTGAAGGCTTTGACGATATTGAGCACAGGGTCCCAATGTCCAGATCTCTCCTTCAAGGAGTCGTAATGCCTGGCAATATCATTTTCGACATCAAACTCCAGAAGATGCCAATGATCGCCCTGGACAATGGGAACTAAGAGGTTAGTACACCCTTCATCGACCAAGCGTTTGATGTAGATATCATGCAGCTCTTGGTAATCTGGTTTCAGCACATGTATCTGGTGCTGCAATAAAGAATTAACCCGATCAGGTTCCTTTTAACATAGATTATGTGCTGATAGTTAGGAGTACGCCACGCCAGACATAAACTTACACTAAACCAAACAGGGACTACGCCGAATTTTATACTGGACGATGCTCTCTGATTTTCACGAACTAAATCAAGCAGCGTATCAACAAGCTATCATAAGTTGGCAACAAGTAATTAATAATAGTATTGTTAAATATGCTAATGAATAAATACCAATCGAAAATCTTACTGAATCATCCAGTCGCCCACCGCGTAATATATTGAGGATCTCAAGCCGGGTAATAGACCCTGCTGATCCCTCGTACACTTTAATAAAACTGCAAACAGGGAAAAAAACAAAAATAATAGTTAGCAACTAACAATTAGCAGCAAGAACAAATCAAAAACTATAACGAAAAACCCTTAACCTAAACAACAAATCAATAACCATAACAAAAAAACCCGTAACCATAACAACAAACACGTAACCTTAACATCAAATACGTATCCTTAACAACTACCACATAACCTGCACAACAAATCAATAACTATAACAAAAAAACCCTTAACCTAAACAACAAATCAATAACCATAACAAAAAAACCCGTAACCATAACAACAAACCCGCAAACTAAACAACAAACGTAAATACTTGAGATGTGAGGTAAATACTTACTTGTTACATCTACAAATGCAAAAATGGTTAAGAGCTTTTTGCTCCTCTTCCGTCAGTAGCGCGGCAACGTCTGCTGACACCTTATAGTTATGTACAAATGTGTCCTTGTCGCCCAAAAACTTGATGATGAAGCCATCTGGAAAGGGAATCCCCTCGTTCAGCTTATCTCTGTACATTTCTTCTTCTGAACTCATAGGGGAACTCATGTGTTTTTCCCAGATAGAGTGGGGGTCACTTTGTAGCCGAGCAGGAGCCAACTCTGCATTGTTTTCCTGCACCTGTGCTTCCTCCTCCCCACCCACTTCTATTATAGCCTTGTCCCCTATGTTGTCTTTTTCTTTCTTCTTCTTCCCTTCAGTGTAAGGGGTGACTACCCACTTGGAAGGCTTCACCGACCTTTTGCATCTCTTCCGTTTAGGGGGTGCAACAGCGGCCATCTTCCCGCGTGCCCCCGTTGCACCCCTCTTTCTCTTATTCAAAACCTTTGAAAACACAATAGGAGCATCTTCGTCATCAGTTGATGTCTCTTCTGCTGGTGGAGGGGCATTCTCTGATTGCTTTATTTCCATCCTAGTGTCCTCCCGCAGAGTGTCTGATTCCAAACAACCCATTCGAAGTATAAATATTAAGAAAACATAGCCCCTTCTATCTAAACTTAACAATTTCATAGTAAACCTAACAACTGATGCCTAAACACATGGTGAAAAAGTTGCTAACCTATACAAGTTTGCGTCTCCCCATCACCTGCAGAAGGGACTTCAACCGCCGGCGTTATTTCCCTTCCAGTGCCCTCGCGTTGAGTGCCTGTTTCTGATAATATTCAGAGTATAAACAATAAAAAGCTTAACAACCAATACGTAGACATAACAACCAATCTCTAACATATAGTACAAAAGCAAGCTAACCTGTACAAGTTAGTAGCTCCTTCGCTGGCGGGGACACCTTCTCTCCCTCGTTTATTTCTGCCTCAAGGGCCTTGTCAACAGCAGATGCCTCTGGTGGAGGTAATTCTCCTGGCGGAGCATCTTCACTCTCCTTGTGGATATCAGAAAACAATGGTTGTGGAGAGGCCCTCCCTGTTGGAGGGGCCTCGCTCTCCTTATTAGCTTCATCACATAATAATGATTTATTGACATCCCCATCGTACTGTACATCAATGCCACCCACGGTGCCTGGAGTGTCTGATGGCGCATATCGCCTGATTACTCAAGAGGGCGCCAGGCAATTAATGCCAATAAATGGGAAGTTCCTGAAAAAGTACTATCCCTAGTACATTCAGGATAACTCGTTTACCGGGAAGTTCCTTGAAGAATATTACACTTAATATTCTAGAGGATAACCCAAAATCATTGTCACCACCAAAATCCCTCACTGATCAATTTCAATTGACAGTGGGTCCACCAAAAATGTTTTTTCTGGCCCTCTTGATTCTCTCCATGAGCAAGAGGTCCACTTTCAGTTCGGAGTCCCTTTTCGATAAACGAAAGAACTCCTTCCCTTTTTCTCTTTGGTTAAACCTTGTTCATGGTTATAACCGGAGTTGAAAATACCACTTCGATAAACGAAGGACCCATTTTCAGTTTAGATAACTCATCCTATAAAAGGCAAGTTTATCTAAATTTTCCAGATTCTCGGAGTGGACACCCCACTTCTAGTTTCTTCTTCGCTGGAAATAGAATATAAAATTCTTCCTTTCCAGAATCAGGGAATAGAATATAAAATTCTTCCTTCCTTGTCTGTTGGGTTCGCCTTCACCCTAAAAGAAGACCGGGAAATAGAATATAAAATTCTTCCTTTCCCGCACCAACCTTTTCTAAGAATCTATCAATCTAGGATTCATCCTAGGAAGTTTATCCCGAATCCTAAGCAGGGATAAGTCTGCGCCTAACACGCGCTGCCGGTTTAGTCTTTTTCCGCACAAAAAGACACCAGAGTCTGATTCTGGGGTATTTTATCCTGAAACCTAAGCAAGGATAAGTCTGCGCTTAACCTGCGCTGCCGGTTAGTTCTTAACCGTTAAAAAGAACACTCGTCCGCATATTCAACATTGCGGCAGGTTGTTATTAATAACACCAAAATCCATGCCTTACACGCATGGGGAATGTCATCCTGAATCCTAAGAAGGGATATGCCGACGCCTAACACGCGTCGCCGGTTTAGTCTTTCGCCGTAGAAAAAGACACCAGAATACCAGTCTGGGGTATTTTATCCCGAAACCTAAGTAGGGATAAAGTCAACACCTAACACGTGTTGCCGGGTAGCTTATTCCCGTAACAATGGCGAAGTCTACGTATTCGAAGTCGTAGCATCAAGTCTAAGGGATTTCATTCCTTTAGCACAACGTTACATGCGGAACGGATTTAGACAATCCGCATGCTAGCCCGACTCAAACGGTAGTCGGTAAAGGCTAATCAAACCCGTTGAAGGCTGGGGGTTAGCCAAAAATCCTAAAGTCAACACCTAACACGTGTCGCCGGGTAGCCTATTCCCGTAACAATGGCGAAGTCTATGTATTCGACATCATAGCACGAAGTCTAAGAGAATTCATTCTCTTAGCACAACGTTACATGCGAACGGAGTTAGACAATCCGCATGCTAGCCCGACTCAAACGGTAGTCGGTAAAGGCTAATCAAACCCGTTGAAGGCTGGGGGTTAGCCAAAAATCCTAAAGTCAACACCTAACACGTGTCGCCGGGTAGCCTATTCCCGTAACAATGGCGAAGTCTATGTATTCGACATCATAGCACGAAGTCTAAGGGAGTTCATTCCCTTAGCACAACGTTACATGCGGAACGGATTCCGACAATCCGCATGCTAGCCCGACTCAAACGGTAGTCGGTAAAGGCTAATCAAACCCGTTGAAGGCTGGGGGTTTGCCAAAAATTCCATGAGTATTATGGTCAATCATTTCAAACGAAGTGAGGAATCATAATAAAGATAAAGATAAATCAGTTCCATTAAAGAGAATCAAATGTCAAGGTTTTCAGCAAATAAAATCATACATCAAGCCCATGGCTAAGAACCTGCTGACTGAATTCAGACAGCTTCTCATCATAAGAGCGTCTAAGCTCCTCCTGCAACTCAGCTCTGACAGACTCTTCGTTCGCGGCTAAAGTCCTCACAGCAACCTCCTCTGTCTCAGCCAGTGTCTGCTTCAAGGACTTCAGCTCATCAGATAAAGCAGCATGTGCTTGCTGATTTTGCATCTTTGCGTCTTCCTTCTCACGGAGTTCTCGTCGGAGCTGATCTATCTGAGAATCAAGCTCCTCAAGTGAAGATGATCTAGTGGCAAGGTCAGCCTCAACTCGATCTATTCGGCCCCGCTGCACCTGAATCTCGAGCTCGGCAACCATCCGAGTACTGCGCCATGTCTGTAAGCGAGCATCCAACTCGGCAGCAACGAATGAAGAGGCACCTGTATCCCGGAGCTCATGAAACATCTGAAGCTCACGCTCTAAGCGATCAAGGTCATCAACCATAGCCGTCGCCAGATCCGGACATCCTATGTCCCTAATCAAATTTATCTTGGAATCGAGGTAGGGCTTAAATTGGCGAAGAGAAAGTCCGTCGTGGAGGAGTTTGCCAATTATAGCAGTCAGGGAGGAGAAATAAGAGCGGACTTCTACGCTGATGATGATCTTCTCAGGGTCATTCCCCGATAACAACTCCTTAACGAGGACATGAAGCTGAGAAGGAAGCCCTACACAAAGAAGAGAAATTCGTCAAAAGCCTCAATAAGGAAATGAATGGCTTTGCTCAGTTAATTAAATTATACCTCCTCCCCCTCGAGTCACTGGGGGTGGTGGAGATGTAAGGACTGTAGCTGCATCGACTGGTGGAGTTGGTCGTACAGCCGGCTCAACAGGGTCAGCCTCAACAAAAGCCCCTGTTAGGCACAAAACAGAAACATCATATTATAGTTGCATTAGTCAAGGAATTGGCTAGTCCTATAGTTAGCTTGAGAAGAGGCACGCACCTTCAAAATAACCGTTCCCGGGAGTCTGAGGGAGTGCAGACTCAGGAAACATATCCTGAGGTGGCTGGCCATCAATCTGAGGGGAGTCATACATGAAGCTGAACATAGAAGTGTCCATAGGCAGGCCCTCCCCATCGAAGTCATCAATCGAAAAATCTGACATAAAAAGATATAAGGGAAGAGGAAGGAAACTATGGCCAATAGAGACAAGTTACCTCTTGAAGATGTACCTGGAATCACCGAACTGGGTCCTTCATTGACAGACTCCCAACATGGGCGGTCTCTACAGGCTTTTCTACCTGGTGCGGTGAGTCAGACTCACCGGGAGATGCACAATCATCAGGACTCATCTCGCCTTCCTCACGATATCCTGCATAGGATGGGAAACGTTGAAAAGGTCTTGGGGGGGCAGAGCATGTTTTGGGTTGTTTTGGGGGCTGGAAACAATTTTCCCTTTTTTTTTTAAAGTTGATGTGTCAAGACGAAACTCATAAATAATAAGTTTTTCTTCAGATTCTTATTAGAAAAATAAACGGATTCGGATCTTCTCTAATATTTAAAAAGTAGTGGAGAGACCACTACATAATCACAACCATTGATTATTTAGTTGGTGGCTGTGATTTTTTTTTATTTAGTGCAAATTAAGAATGGTTGCAATACACGGGGGTATGATAATTGTTAGATTTAGATTGTATCATAACCGTCTATTAAGTAATCAACGATTGAGATTAAAAGTAGTGATATTTTCACTATTTTTTTGTAGTGGAGAGGATCCAAATTCAAAATAAACTTGTGCTCCTGTATATTTTTGGCAAATGGTCAAACTGGATTATAAGGCACAAAAGTGGTTGGATGTTTGGCAAGTGGATTATTTTGGATTTTAATTCACCAAGAAATAATGTGGGTATCTCATGTTATTTTTTGATGGACTATGATTCATAAGGTCTGATCAAGTAAAAAATAATTATATACCTTATGATTTCATAATATCCCGTATTTTATTTAATTACTCATCAACAGCTTCATATTTTTTTTTCTTTGTGGGTCATTTTGACAGTAATGATAGATTATATAATCCATTCATTTGTCAAATACTGTACTACAGAAATAGATTATAATTCACCAAACATTCTGGACTCTAACCCGCTGGCGTTATAATCCACAAAGTCCATCACGAAACAATTCATTGGACACAAAGATCTACAAGGGCATCAGAAGCTGTATAGTCTTGATTTTGGCCCGTTTATGGCCTGCGTTAACTCACTAGCCCAAACCCAATTCCCCAAAACCCATATGAGAATCTCACAGTCTCTCTCCTACTGTTCGACTCGTCTGCAGTGACCAAGTTCAGTAAACTGGGCCAGCCCACGGCCCACAGAGTAGTCATGCTCGGGTTCTCACTCACGCCATCTCCTCCTCAAATTACCAAAAAAAAAAGTTATAGGGTTTTGCTTTCTGATTTCTAGAAGAACTCGGGATTTGTAGAGTATCCTTTGCCGGTCCATATTTTGTGAATTGTTTTGCCTAATAATTTGAAGTTTTTTTAATTAAAAAAATAATTTGAACTTTTAGATTAAAAAATAATAATATATATTAAATAGAAAGGATAGAATTCCCCGTAAATTCATGGATTTAGGTTCCAAATTTTAAGCAACAGAGATTCGTCTCAAAATTTTTCATTATCTTAGCTGGTGTCTTGCTAACGAGACACATTCATTTATATTATCAAGATATTCAAAATATGATTGACAAATTGATATTTTTCCTCTGTAAATTAAGACCTCTAACAGATACTGATATTTTCCCTCTGTAAATTAATATTTGGTCCTACTTAAATTATAATAGAAGTTGATCAATTTTCCTTTTCCCATGAAATCTACGTTGTCCATACTCTCAAAGTCCCTCCGAAATTTAAACCCAAATCAAACTCTCATTTCTTCCTCCCAAAATTTCCTAACTACTCAAAAACTCCATGCCCAGTTCCTTAAAACTGGAGTTCTCGTTGAAGAATCAGTTACTCTCCTCAAGTTGTACTGCCAATCCTCTCAATTCCAATTTGCTCACCAACTGTTCGATGAAATTCCAAACTGGGACTTAGTCTCTGCAACCTCCCTCATTGGTTCCTTCACTCGATGCAATCGCCATAGAGATGCTATCTCTCTCTTCTCTCGCTTACCATTCTTCAGTATCAGACCCAACCAATTCACTTTTGGCACAATTCTTCGCTCCGCGATTTCTCTTAGCAATCTCAACCTCAGCAAGCAACTCCACTCCTTAACAATCAAAATGGGTCTTCACTCCAATGTATTTGTTGGTAGCTCTCTTGTCGACATCTATGCCAAATTGGGCAATATAGAAGAAGCTAAACTCGCATTTGACGATACTGATGAACCTAATGTAGTTTCCTACACTGCATTAGTTAGTGGGTACTTGAAGAAAGAGCAGTTTGTTGATGCACTTCGCCTCTTTAGGCAAATGCCCGAGAAAAATGTGGTTTCTTGGAATGCATTTGTTAGCGGTTGTAGCCAAATCGGGCGCAACGAGGAGTCTGTGAATATATTCGTGGAAATGTGCAGAGAAGGCATTAGGCCAACTCCAATGACCTTTCCTTGTGTTCTAACTGCAGCTTCTAATATAGCATCCCTTGGGCTTGGAAGAAGTTTTCATGCCTTGGCTGTAAAATCACTGGCAAAGCTTGATGTCTTTGTGAGCAATGCACTTGTGAGCTTATACTCTAAATGTGGAAGCTTGGAAGACACTGTTTCGGTTTTTGAACGGATCAGAGAACGAAATGTGGTATCTTGGAACTCTGTAATATGTGGATTTGCACAGAATGGCAAAGGAGAGAAAGCCTTGGAATTCTATGAGAAAATGCGGGTAATGGGTGTGAAGCCCAATAGTGTTACCCTTCTTGGTTTGCTATTTGGATGCAATCATGCCGGGCTTGTCGATGAAGGGTACAAGTACTTCAATTTAGCGAAAGAGGAAGATCCTAACATATTGCGAGCTGAGCATTATGCTTGTATGGTCGATTTGTTGTCTCGGTCAGGGAGGTTCGATGAGTCTGAGAGGTTCTTGAAGGAGCTCCCCTTTGACCCAGGAGTTGGATTTTGGAAGGCAATGCTTGGTGGTTGTCAAATACGCTCGAAAAAGGATTTGGCATCGACAGTAGCAAGCCATATTCTTGCCCTAGATCCCAAGGACATATCGTCCTATGTTCTGGTGTCGAATGTTTTCTCTTCGGTTGAGGATTGGGGGAGTGTATCGAATATTAGGAGAGAAATGAAGGAAAAGGGTATGAAGAGGATTCCTGGATGTAGCTGGATTGAGATTAAGAGCAAGGTGGTTGTGTTCTTCAATGGAGATCGAAGACATCCGAAAACCGATGAGATTCATACTATGCTAGATTCTTGCTTGAGTTATTCCAGTTTGGAAGCTTATGGCTTTGGAGTTTTCAAAGATTCTTGAAGATTCTGTGTTGTCAACTAGTATCAAGCTCAGATTCCTTCGGTTCTGAGCTTGTTTTTATCTCATTGAAAAGGTCAACACCTTGATCATAATTCTTCTCGACTGAGAATTTCAGAGAATATGCCAGAAGATTCAGTAATTTCTCCTATGAATCAGATTTGGGGCAGACTTTCTATTGCCTTTGCAGGAATAAGTGTTGGTATCTTTCTGTTCTTTTGCTTCTATAAGATGTTCAGAAATCACTACATCACATTATTCACACATAGAAGGCAAAATCCTGAGGACCATTCTCTTCAGTCTGCCAGAAGTAGAGGCCTATCTCCTGCTGTTACAAGCTCTCTTCAAGCGATTCAGTTTAACGAAGAGATTAGAAAAGGTGATAACAAGAGCTCTGATTGCGCAATTTGCCTTGCTGAGTTCAAGATAGGGGAATGGTTACGGGTACTGCCCGGGTGCTCTCATGGATTTCATTTACAGTGCATCGATGCTTGGCTTTGCTCTCATTTGGACTGCCCTTTGTGCAGAAAGCAAGTTCGGTGCAGTTCTCGTTCTTCTGTTGTTTCGTTGGAGACTCTACCGAGGGAAGATATCAGCCATGAGAGGCTTCTGAGTTCACATCATGAGACTGGAGGTATGCGTGGTTTGATGTCGGTTTAAGTATCCGATATTCTAAAAACGTCCTCGTTGCAAGTTCTCAGTTGGCAGTAGTTTTATTAAGTTTCATGATACAGAGCTGTAAAAGAAGCAATTCAAATGTGATTCCTTTCGAATTGTTGTCTTCCAAGCGGAAGAAAGTAACATAATTGTTAGGTTTGCTGAGAAATTTTCAATTAGTTTTGTTCATGCATTGTAATGATCTCCTTGTGACTGGAAATTGAAGGATAGGAAATTCACTGGACTTATCGGTTGCTCTTACGTTGATACTATGGCAACAAAGCTACACACCAAACTCAAATTTACTGAAATGAAACATGAACTGTGTTGCTGTAACAGATTCGGAAAAAATGAGCTCGTCGAAGATTCAATGACGTGTAGGCCACCATCAGAACCGTCAACCAGTACAGTAAGATTTAAACGGGTTCTGCATTTACAGTCGATTCCTAAGTTGGAGCTTTGAAAGATGGGATAAAAGTTTCTGTTGTTTCAGAATAACATGATCTGAGAGCTAGAACATTACTGCACAAAAGAATAAGATTTCAACTTGCTTTCTGCACAAAGCACTGTCTATACAGTGCTAAACCACTGTCTATACAAAAGAATAAGATTTATGTTCTCTATGAATACGGTATAAAGTATGAAGCAAGGGGTCCATAATAAAGGTATCATGAATCAAGCTCTTAGTAGCACCAGGAGAGCACTCCTTGCGGTATGAATCTCAAGAATGTGGAAGCATGAGACCACCAACGTTGAACAAACTGTGGCTTCCTATTTTTGCTATACAAACTATATACAGCAGAGGGAAATGCAAATCCTTGGAAAAGGATATCCTTCAGAAGAAAATCACCAACTAATTGTCATTCTAACCCTGAGAAATGCTAACCCCATGACCGCATTCAGGCCGCCATATTTCCCTTGATTCAACCATATTATGTGCCTAATTGTCACTTTTCTTTTTCATGAACCCGCTCTGATACATCCCAAAGTAGCCAGAAGAGTTGGGTGAATAAGGAACCAATCATCACACCACAAAAAATTGCTTACTTAAAACAAATTCCTTATACAAGACGATGTTGTCTAAGGCCCCTACTGAAATGAGGCTGCATGAGCTGAACATAGAAACCATTCATCTGCATAAGAGCATCATGAGTTCCCTGCTCAATAATCCTGCCACCATTGAGCACAACGATGTTATCCACATTTCTAACAGTTACTGCTTTGTGCGCAATTAGAATTGTTGTCTTATTTCCCATAATCAGTGTATCAAGGGCCTCCTGCACTACCCGACTTGATTCTGACTCAATCGCAGAGCTGGCCTCATCCAGTAACAAAATTGGAGCATTCCTGAGCACCACTCGAGCAATTGCAATTCTCTGCTTCTGCCCAGGGGTTAAATCCACTCCTCTCATACCTACATGAGTGTCATAGCCATGAGGCAAGCTGCTGATGAATTGGTGGGCATTTGCTATCCTTGCTGCTTCTTTAATCTCAGCTTCGGTTGCATTGTGCCTCGCATATATGATGTTCTCTCTTATGGTGGTTGCGAAGATAACAGGTTCCTGTTGCACTAATCCTATGTGATTCCTCAGCCATCTCAGGTTGTACTGCTTCAAATCTCGCCCATCTAGTAGAACTTGACCAGCTACAGGATCATAGAACCTCTCGATCAAAGACAATATTGTGCTCTTTCCTGATCCTGTTGCACCCACTAATGCTATTGTTTGTCCCCCATCAACTTTAAGGTTAAAATTTCTCAACACCATCACCTCTGGGCGAGTCGGGTAGTAAAAGTCAACATTCCTGAGCTCAATGCTTCCATAAACGTTAGGGGGTTTCAGGCCTTCATTGTCATCAGCATTGATCTTTGGCTCACGGTCAATGATTCCGAATACTGAAGCAAGGGACTGTCTACGCTTGAGTATATATGGAGCAAGGCCAAAGGGCTCCACGAGTGCAAATGTAGCAAAGGAGAAGACCATGTATTCTTTCAATGCTGTAACTAAGCTAATTCGGTCCTTTTTCACACAGAGAGCAATATACCAGAGGAGAAGGGCGTTACAGGCAAAAAGAAAGAACTGAGATAGTCCAAAGGCAAGACCAATTCCCATTCCGTGGATGAAGCTCCGCTTCAGTATCCCGTTAAGCTGCAATCTGTAAATTTCCATTACTTTGTTACTTGCACAGTATGCCACAACAGTATAAATGTTCCGAACTGCATCCTCAAGCACTACAGAAGCCTTCTGGTGCATTTCTTGAATTCCTTTCGAGAATCCACTAAGCCACATTTTCTGCAAAAACAATATACTGTTATTTCTTATTCAACAGGAAAATCTATAGTCTATACAATTTGCATATAGTCCTGATACCAACAGTGAACGTGTACTTATTTACGTATGCATATGACAACTACATAAAACATAACGAGCACATAATTTTAAAGTTGAATGAGCTAAGACCAATAAGGAAAACCCTGATATCTGACAATTGGTCTGTAGTGTTCAAAGGTTTACAAGACTGTGACGCCTGATATTGATAGAAGGTTATCTAGAAGCATGTTTCCATACAATTTTTCGCAATAAGAACAATTGATGGTAGGCATTATGACAGCCGGTAAGTTTCTGGCTGAAAAAGACATGTACAGGTCATTTTTGAACGGTTTCATAACCGTTACGATATTGTGCTTTTGGATGGACTGACCTGATATTAGGCTTATATATACCAATATTATTCATGGGATGGAAACAAGCATTTTAGCAAATCCAAGTAGTTAGTAATGTTCTGCTCTCTAGCCCCATAACGAAACCTGATGAAATAAAGCCACTAAGAAAGATGTGAAAATGAGAATACTCGAGCCCTTTGCCGATTTAGGAAGATAAAAATAAATAGTGGATGACAGTTATCAAAGCGGGAAGGGAGCAAATGGAGAGGATGTGCAATGAAAAGGCTGTAATGATTTAAAAACTAACCACAGACAAATGGTTTCTAGATATTTCCCACTGAAAAATTACTAATTTCTATATACCCCCTCTAGTCATTGTGATTTGAAATAGTCTTCTTATAAATATTCGTCACTTCGAACATCACCACTTTGTTATATGACTGTTAATATGACGGTCCAGAGTAATAATGATTCAAATATCCTTCATGATTTTTAATGAAGGTATTTCTCCTCTTGCGGCTTCTTTCTCTTAACTCTTTTCATATTCTAAAATTCGGACCTTGCACCTTCCAATTTCAACCTTTGTTTGAGCAGAAATCAGACTGAATTCTCATTGATGCCTTCGTTTAGAAAAATAATTCAAGTAAATGAACCTCAAGTTTCCAAAGGACAGGTCAAATAGTGTTGGACTCTGTTCACTTTTGCAAGTGACCTTAATAAAAGAAAAGGAAAGAAAGGCTGAGATTGATGAGTGAATTGAAAAGATTGGAAATCAGCCTTGAAGGAACTTACAAGAACTAATCCAGAGCTGTCTTGTCTTGGATCTTTGAGTGAAAGGGAGGAAAAGAGAATTACAGAAGATGGTCATGGATTTGAAAAATAAAAGAGGCCATGAAGTGGTAATAGCTAGTGCATAAGCTGCCAATGGAGGATCTGGAAAGCAATTATAATGTGTGATTAAAAAGAGAATGAGGGCTAAACAAAGATGAACTATGGTAAATAGGAAAGCGAAAATCCCAGTTTTAGTTAACCCCTTCAGTGAGAATATCCGCTAAATAATTATCATATCTAATGGGCAAGGCAATAGTTGGAGCAGCTTATAGTTTATAAGAGGATATTACAAGTTATAAAGATTTGAAGGGGCATCAAAAGTAGTAATATTTTATAGTGAATGGCAGAATGTCTAATTCAAGGATTACAGGTAATGCCTTTACATATGAAATCATAACATCAGGCATCTCACTGTTAAACAATGAACGTAACCCCATGGGTAAGATCCTTACCTGTGCGATGGCAGAAACCGAAAGAACTGGTAGGGTTGCCAAAGCAACAAGTGCTACTCGCCATTCTAGCAACATCCCAATAAGAAGGACCACAACAACTGCTACAAAGTCCTGCACAAATATTGAGACCCGATTGCTAAAAGCAGCACGAACAAATGTTGCATCATTTGCCAAGCGCACGGTTAAGATGTCTACATCATTCTCCTCTTCGTCAAACCAGGCAACCTCATTGTGCAGAATTGCTGGAAGATGATTGAGAAATGAGTTGTAGTCAATCTACAAGAGTAGGACAATTAATATGCCAACATACTACAACAATATCTCGTACCAAGATTAGAGCACTACTGCGATTTAAAAGGAAATTATCTTCGAATCTGACAATTTTGAAATTTTCAAAGTGCCTCTGGAATATACCATTTTTATGTTGACACTTGACAACTGCTGGTATTAGTGTAGTAAATTCCCAATATGATGGCTGAGTTAGTCTTGAGCTTCAGAATGAAATTGTTGACTGGAAATGCTTGGTACTCAACTCTGTTTGACCCTTATTATATTTCTTGCTAAACATTATTCACCTTCTCCTTATTTAAGGAAAATGAAAAAAACAGAGTCTATTATACAGAACTAACACGAGATTTGCAAAACATCTTCAACTTTAGGATATATATCCATTTCATGAACTCTTAAGATAGTTCGAAAGTAAGATCCCTTATATGCTTGAGTTGTGATTTAATTTTTAGTAAAATCAGTAAAAACTACATCTGTTCACTTTATATCCTTGTAAATTCATCTATAAAAATTACGTTTTCTCCAGTCCTGTATCTTAGTTAGTGATCCTTTCTTATCTTCACAAAGACAAAAAGTGTAAACCTTGGTCTTATTTGTGATTCCTGTATATTATACTCTCTTCTGTTTTCATTCTTGTGATATTGAAAATTCAGTAAATTTTTTTGCACTGTCAAAATTCCAGCATGATACTTATATATTTCTATTTTAAAAATAAATTATTTATTAATTAAAATTATATTTCTTAGGAAAAATAAATAAAATCGGATACCCAATTGTGATAGCCGCTAAAGAATGACTGGCCTAGAATCCCATTTAAGTAGAACTAGAATTTTAATTAGGATCTCCACATTAAATTTTTGTATATTATAAGAAACTAGTTATGGCTATACTACATGTCTCTAGCATCTGCCCAAAATCCTGGCCCAGTAAAAGTTGCAGATAAGTATACTAACAATTTAACAACATAAAAATTGGTCAGTATTGAGTAACGAGCAACTGTGACAGCTGATTACTCGAGCAAATAAAATTTAACTGTATGTGTGCATGTGGGTGTGTGGGTATGGGTGAAATCAGGAAGACATGAATAGCAGCAGTTCACCTGAGAACATCATTCTTCTAACTCGCTCAGTCATCTTCTCCCCCATTATACCGAAGTAGAAGTGCTGCAGAAAGTTGGCCACCACCGTGACAACACCCATGCATGTAATAATCAAACACCATTTGTTCACTTCATCGCGCATATCATGCTCACTAATTTTGTAATATGCTGCCACTATCAATGCAATAGCGTAAGCAAAAAGAGGATTGAAAGAACCAAACATAGCAGCACCAATGCTTCCTAAAAATGCATAGAGCCACTCCGGAAAACTGAGCTTCACTAGCCTCCAAACTGATGGTGAGTGGTGCTGTGAAGTCTTTGGCTGCCTTTGTTCAAAAGGCCTGCCACCAAACTGACCAAGCGGACCGCTATATTTCTGTGAATGAGAACGTTCATGTTTAGGATCAGATGTAAGAAGTCGTGAAACAGGAGATTCAGGATCTGAATCATCTGAGGTACGATTATTTATAGCATGACTTCTGACTTTGGGAAGCTTTGGCAATCGTGTTATAAAACTGTCCTCTTTTTTAATGAAAGATGGTCTTTCTGGTTCCACTGTGGTCATCCCACATTCCACAGGATCAGGAGGAGGACTACAAACCTTTGGTGAATCTTGTAAGTCATAATGGGCATCTACCACCCGAAAAGCATGAGCATCATGTGCTCTGTGAAGGGACAGTGATTTTTCCATCTTAGGAGAAAATGGTTCTTGGAAGCTGTGATCTGCTGATGAATCCTTGTCCACTTGTAAAGCTGTAGTTTCCAAGTAGCGGTTTATAGGTGTTCTGGAAAGGACAAACACTTCATTTAGATACGAGTGTTTAGTATAATGTAGCCATAAAGTACAATTGGCCAAAAACACCATAGCAAATTGGTTGAGAGAGAAGAAAACAAAAAATTCATGACTCTCTGATCATAGAAAAAGTTTGACATAAAAACCATGGTACAGACTGACTGTCAGATATACGAAAAAAGACAAAGAGATGAGAAAAACAACCTCTCTAATAAATAATAACAAAGTTCCGAGTGAGAAGCAACTCTAGAAATGACCAGAAGGTGTTAGGAGATAGCATTTCAAAAAGATCAGCTTGTCTATCTTTCAAAAAATAATTGTAGTATAAATATACAAATTGAGATCCAAATTTAGGCCTGACTATCCACTATACAAAAAAAGTCCTAAAGATATCACCAAAGCACTAGAAAAGCATTAACATTTAGGTAAACAGTCTCTCTTATGTTTAGTTGAGATTTATAAGTAGATATAACTTTCTCAAATCTCATCTCTCTATGTTTTTACACAAGGTTAGTTAGGTTTGATTTTAAAAATATCTTATGCAGTATATGTTGCTTATAAAGTGGAGGATTGTCACTTCTAAAAAAAATTGTTTTGTTTTGGATGATTAGTTGAACCGATTCAGTTTGATTTATTAGATTGAGGGTAAAATACTTTGTTCCCTAGAAAACCTTTTCCAAACCTTATCAAATTACTAGCTTCCCTTCCTATTCCATGTTACTACCCCACTAAAGTCGGCCAACCTATCAATTTATAGTGGTGGGGTTATGCAACTGAAGTAACATATGGTCCACCCATCCAGATTTTAGAACTTCATAGAGCACACAGATCAGAGGAATTATTGAACAGTGTCCACTTTAAGTTCGGCATTAACATACTTTTCTCCATGACTATATCCACACATGTGATGTTTAAACTTCTTCACACGACAAAAACTAGCGACCAAGGTCTTATACATATCCTTTTGAACAATAGATTTTCCAACTAGAAAGAAATGACAGAACGGACATTATTTTACACACAGGATTAACAAGTGAATCCGACAACTAGATGAATGTCTTCCGCTCCATCCCGACACCAACAACAAAAAATGGAAGATTAACAGTAATATATAGTGCCTATAGATGTTTCATTTCATAGGTGCAGTTTTTTCTGCAGTTCATCCTAAAATAAACACTAATCTACATCCAGAATTTGAGGGTTGTATCATGCTGACTAGATCCAAATACTATGGAATATCCTCTTATTTTATATGCAATTCATTGTCAATTAAGTTGAACAGGGTAAGCTTGTCCCATTGCATTAGAACTAAAAAAGGCATGAGCCATGTAATCAGTAGTCAAGAATCTCTAACAATTGTGTTTGTGACATAATTACCGATAGATTGTGCGATGTACTTCTATCAGATGCTTATCTAAGTATATAATTTACCTCTTAGGAAGTTTTGCTGCTTCCTCAGATCTAAGAAGCTCTGCATAAAGGCTATCCAATCTGGACAACTCATCATGTGTCCCCATTTCAACAAGTTGACCCTCTTCCATAACGGCTATATAATCAACGTTCTTTATCATATTAAGGTGTCGAGCTATTATTATAGTTGACCTTCCTAACATGAGCATGTTCAGTGCCTCCTGAATGGCTCTTTCTGCCTCAAAATCCAGGCCACCAGTGACCTCATCGAGAAGGAGAATGGATGGTTTCGAAATTACAGCCCGTGCTATGGAAAGCTTTAACTTTTGTTCGTCAGTCAATACTAAACCAAACTTACCCACCTGAATGCAAGAAACTATATCAGCCATCAACAAGTATAGATCACAGTATAAGAGGTTGTGTCCAGAACTGATATATCATGTCTCTCTACCTGAGTTTCATATCCCTTCTCCAGTGAGCTGATAAATGTATGGGCATGTGCAGATTTGGCTGCCTCTACAATCTGGTCAAATGTAGCAGATCTCCCGTAAGCGATGTTATCCCTGATGCTCAAATTTAATAAGGCTGGCTCCTGGGTTACTAGTCCAATTTGGCTTCTTAGCCACTCCAGATTCATAGTTTTAATATTTTCTCCATCCAAAAGAACTTCCCCTGCAACAGAAAATTAAAGATAAGCTTCTGACTCTGGAGACAACCTTTATGTGTCATATTAGGTAAAACTCCAAAACAATGAAAAATAAATTACAAAAGGAGAATGTTTTAGTAAATCCACCTAGTGTTGGGTCATAAAAGCGTTCCATGAGAGGAATTATACTACTTTTCCCAGAACCATTCTTCCCAACAAGTGCCACAATTTTCCTAGCAGGCACTGTCAAATAGAACCCACTTAGAATTGGGATTTCTGGACGGGAAAGGTAGCTGAAGTATACATTGCGAAACTCAATGCTTCCTTGTATGGAAGCCAATGTACACCCTTCCTGTTTGACCATTGAGCTCGATCGGCTTATCATCTCATATAGTCGGTAAGCAGCAATTCTTCCTAGTTCAAATGAATAGAAGTTTGTCGCCGCTTGATTTAATCCACTGTAAATGACATAATCTTTATTTAGGGAAAAGTTTGCACGTTGGAATTTTCTAAAGTGCATACAATGAAATTGAAAAGTAAAAAAGAACAAAACATACTTACAGCCCACTCAAAATGATAGCAAAGAGAGATGTTATAATCTCACCACCATTGACCTTCCCTTTTGAGACAAGGAATCTCCCAACCCAAAGTTGTAGAGCACATGAACATATCGCAAGTCCATATGTGCATCCAAGTCCAATGCCTTGTACAAGACTAATCAAAATCCCATACCTAAGTGTTGCTTGAAGAGATGTAGCATAAGAATACTTTGCCAGAGTTTCATTTGTGAAGGCATACAATGTCCTTATGGAAGAGACTGCCTACATAATGAAGAAAAGAAAGGTCTTAAACTCACCAGCAACTTCTATTACATCCTAACAGAACAAGTAGCTTAGAAAACATTATCTAATGCTTCATTTATGAAATTCAACCATGAAAAAGACTTATTTAATGTGAAGCTGTAATAAGAAATCGGCTTCGACAATAATTCAGTAGCATCAAGACATGTAATATCGTTAAAAGATAACAAGCGGAAAGAAAAAAATTATATCCATGTAACCTTTGAACAATTAAAGTTGTTGTGCATGAGCTAAACGTGGGGATCAATAAAAAACTTAGGTACTCCACATTGCTATATCAGGAGGATGCCAATAGTTCCTTTTACTTGTGTGTTCACTAGATGCCTTAGGGCTAGAAAAAAAATCTTATTCACCCAATAGATCACAGCATCCAGCAGGCAATTAGAGTATGACTGAAGAACTATGATGTTAACAGAGCTGTTCTTACTTCTGAAGTAAATAGGTCAGTATTATTGAATCAAAAACGATAAATAACCTGGTCAGCTACACTTGCTGCCTCTGCATATGCTTCTTGAATATTTTCAGCAAGTCTTTGAAGAAATATATTTGATATTCCTCCTGCAGCAACAATGAAAGGACCAGTACCCAGAGTTAAAAGTGCAATCTGCCAACAGTTGACCAATCCAATAACAATACCACCAACAAAAGTGGCCATGTTATGAATGTAATTTCCGACCTGTATGTAACAAAACCAAGGCATAAAATGTGAAACGAAAATTTGAATGAAAAGAAGAATATGAATGGGTTAATCTAAGTCAAAATTTTGGATATACGGGACACAATCTAACAGTAGATAATATCATGATATGCTGAATGAGAAAGAGATAAGATTAGGACGTACTTTCTCACTAAGAGTAGACTGAATGAGAACCACATCAGCAAACACTTGACTAACAATATCTCCATTGTTCCCGTAAGTGTCAAAGAAACTCATATCTTGGTTAAGTAACACTTGGACATATTTTGACCTGATGATTGCAGTCTGCCTCTCTCCAGTAATAATCCAGCATGATACCTCTATCACATATATAATTTCAGCATGAAGATGAACATGTACCAAGAATTCTAAAAACAATAGAGGAAATTACATTGAAAGTAGAACTTACCAATCCACCCAGCAAGAAATACACCAGCAGCCATATATATTATGTACAAAGCATGCTGCAAATGAAAAACTAAAATCAAAATAGATTCATAGTGTGGTTTCATTGAACCATGTTAACTGTGAATGTAAACATCAAGAGATTGATCAGGTTATGTTCTGTCATATAAACCACTCCCATAAATATCATCATCGTCATCCAATCCTTCCTGCATCAAGAAAGGCTTGCTTATGGAATAAGGCTCCACAGTAATCAAAAAATTTTATTACCGGTGAATATCTAATCTCAACCCCCTCTTAACTGGTTCCAAAACTCTAACTGAGAAAATGGTGGACGAGAATGGGGATTGGCATAATCCTAAAGACCAATTGGCATTTTCCAAAGATAACACCTTTCACGATCAATCAGAAATCATTCGAATTTTAACAAAGGATGACAACAAACAGTGTAAGGAAGTGCCTAAACAGCATAAACAACTCATCAATCTCAAATAACTCATCAACTCATCAAGCCATACATGCAGTGCCAAATTGAGTAATCTTCTGGTATAAAAGAATATTAATGAAGAGTACATGAAAAGGGAGTTGAGGTATGCACATAACTAGCTATATAGAATAATTCCCTCTTTTTAAGAGCAAGGTGGAGAGATGTAGGTATAATGAGACAAAAGCAGTTATTTTGATCTGCTCAAGGTTAAGAGGTTAAGGTAGCCAAATGAACATTACACATCACTGAGCATAGGCTAAAGTTTCCCAGAAAAATGTAGCATGTATTTGTACCAAAATATAGGCAGATAGCCTTACAGAGTATTAGACTTGTTATTTATTTTATTCTATTCTATATTCTATTCTATTTTTGGAGTTCTACATGGCTGGGCTCTTCCACTAGTGTTTAAGGACCGGTTAAAGCTATCAAAGGTCAAAATTAAAAGCACTGCTATTGGTGGGGTTTTTTTTTTGGTGGGGCGGTGTTGGGGTGGGGTAATAAGCATTCAACTCCGTACTTTCTTATAGACTGAAGAGGAAACCTTCAGACTTCAAAGGGATTGTAAAAAGCTGTGCCTGAAATAAAGTTTGCACTATAAATTGCTACTTTGGTTGAATTTTAAATATGCTGCAACTCACATACCTTATTCCAAGCGGTAAGCTTCAGACAGATTGTACTATAAATTTGGTATATACATATTCATGTAACTTGGAATATTAATTCAAGCACTCCTCATAGAAGAAGCTAGTGTTGCATCAAGTATTCAATCATACAAAACCTCTTCAAAAACATCAACTATTAAAAGGGACATGCTAAAAGGTTTGACATTCTTTTACTAATCTTAGAATTTTTTACTAAAATTTTACATTTTAAGATGTTGATACTACCCAAATGTCTGATATTCCGATTTGATACCCAAAATTGCCGATAAAGAAACCTAAAATGTCTCTAAAAACCGGTGCCTAAATTAATAAACCATGGACATAAAACCTTCAAAATGCTTCTTTGAGTTCCATTAAAATTAAGTGACTAGAAATATAACTATGCATTGAAGTTTGCGCACCACTACAAGCACATGGAAGATACTCTCCAAAATCATCGAATCTATTAAAGTTCCTCAATACAATGGTTTACTCATCAACTTAATCATTTTGATCAAGTGAATTAGGATGGAGGAACTAGGAACAACGAGAAGGCTGAAGATAACATGGGTTAAGGGCACAAAAATTCGAGCCATGGCGACATTACATATCTAATGATGGACGATGAAGATTTTCGGAGGCCAAAGCCACACAGTTGCAACTCTTACGACAAATTTTCATAGTAATAGAGCTATAGTTATAGGCGTTATATCCCGATGCACTTAAACCCTAAATAGCCGTCGAAATTCATCATTCCATAAAGAAATAACAGAAATGCATTGCTTTAATCAAACTTTTCAAAGCGCACCTCCTTCGATTTATGAAACATCTGCCCCCTCACAGCTTCAGACCCATCATGATGCAAACTAAGCAAATTAATGGTTTTCCCAAAGAAATGCAAGTAAACAACAAGCGCAACCCCGTGAGCAGCCGCAGCGACCGCTCCCACCGCCATTAGAGCCCAATCGAGCTTATCAGCGTAAGCAAACAGCCTCATAAAGGGAACTGAATCCCGGCGGCGCGGCTCGATCTCCTCGTCTCCCATCGCCGACCCCCCGTCCTCGCCCACCACCGATTCGTTGAAATCCATGACGGTCGTACGGAGATTCCGGCGTCTGAGACCTCCGACACCGGCGTCAGAGGTTGCACCGGCGAGGACCAGCCAAAGAGGCCTCTCGACGTTCCTGACCTCGACAGCATGGTTATCGATTTCGAAGCCCTAAGCCCTAGCGATCGATCGAAACCCTAGATTTTTGCCCTGACTTCCTTTTTTTTTCCTTTGTTTTTTGGTCTTGTGTCTCGACTTTTGTGAGGGCTGACTATGGCGAACAAGTCCGAGAGCCAGCGGTTTTGGTCAAAAGAGGCGGGAGAGGGAAGTGATGGGGACAGGGACTCATGCGTGATGCACGTGAGAGCGCTTGAACTTGTTAATAATAATTGTTTCATCGTCTACCTCCGGCACGAGATTTCTTCTTCTTCTTCTTCTTTTATTTGTTTAATTAACTAATTCTCTTTTCTCTTTTTTGTCCCTTTGTGGAATATTTGGTGACGTTTTGGGGACTCGAGGTGGGAACAATTTGAATGTTGAACGAGCGGCATGCTGGATTGCTGGGCGTGGCTCGGTCCGGTTTAGGCCCATGAACTGGCCCGCGGGGTTTAACGCGGGCTGAGTCTAAACTCGGAACCCGTGCAGGTCAGAGTGCAGGTCAGAGTGGGCTAGGTGGGCTTGCCTCTCCGATCTCCGGGTTGGGACCGGACCAAGCCTAGCTCACGACCCGCTTGGGGGGCGTGTTAGGACAAGCCGGAACCGGCACACGGCACATGAATTTCTTTTTTCAAACTCTTTATTTAAGGACCTGTTTGGCTATTTCCCCTAAAAAAGGGGAAATAGAAATGTCACATTTCAAATGCTTTTATGACATTTCAAGACATTTCACAGTTTTCTTTTCTTTTGTTTGTTTCGCAAAGAAAACTCCCCTTTTCACTGCCAAGTCACACAAAAAACAAAAAAAGCCTCCATAGTAACAGTGTTGGACATTTCCATTTCTTTTGTTTGTTTGAGAACAAGAATAATGAAAAGAGAGAAAACCAATTTAAATGATATGTTTTATTCTTCATAACCTCATAAACAGTGCTTTTATTAATTAATAATTCTCAGATTGGACATTTCCAAGTGTTTTCAGCCCTTTTTGTTGTGAAAACACATTTCTTGAAAATGTGAGGCGGCATCCTACGTGGCACTTCATTTCTTGAAAATTAAAAACGAAACAAACACTTGAAATGGAAACCTCATGAAAACAAAAACCTATGTGGCACATGGGACATTTCTTGAAAGTTGAGGTGGCAACACATTTCTCATTTTTTTTAGCAAACAAACAGACCCTTAAAATAACGTGCGTGCATGCATGTTGCACAAAGATAAACATTACACAAAAAAGCATCGTAAACATACAAATGTATGCGGTTCAAACTACAGAGGAAGACATACATCTACAGTAACTTCCATTAGTTTAAATTTAAATTATAAATATAAGAGGAAAAAATATGTTCACGGATAATACTAAAAAATAAAACATTCATAATTAATTTGAATCAAGCTAGGTTGAGCCAGGTCGGGCAAATGGTGAGTCAGACCTATAGTGGGTTAAGACTCGAGCATGTCTTTTTTGTCCCACGTCTAGTTGAAAACTCAACCTGATCTATGACTTATCTCCAATGTGTGCCACTGGCCGGATTTCTACCCAAACCAGGATGGCATTGGTTCGACCTGTGGTTCAACCGGACCATGCCCAATCATCTGCAGGGGTTTTTTGTAATTTTAGCATAAATGTAATGTATTTTTTACTATACGAAACCCAAACTCGAATATCCTTTTTTATAGATAGAAACGAAAAAAATTTGTATCCGCAAATTTATCTCTACTCGTATCCGTATTTGTTAGGATACATGTATACTTATTAAATATCTATATTCTGATAAGTATGTGAGTACAACTACGGATGTGTAGTGAAATATCTGGATCTATATCCAAAATATATGAATATATGTTGGTCATACACTTGTCATTGTTTTAATCTTTGGGCTAGTGATTTTAGATTAATTTTCATGGTCAAGAGATATAATCGTAGTTTTTCAGATATAACAAACATATTTAGGCCTGTCCATCCGGGCCGGCCCGGCCCAGAAATCCCGGCCCGGGCCCGACCGGGCCCGGTTGATTTTCTTTTTTTTTCCCAAATTTTTTCAATTTTATTTAAATTTTAAATTATAAAAGAAGATAAGAAAAATAATAAAAACAATAATTTTATTAATTACTTAAAATGTCATAAATTACAAATAAAAAATGATAAAGACAAATTCTTTATTAATAATTGATAAATCAGTTACAAATTACAAGTACAAATTTATTTTGGAATTAATCGCATCACAATAGATAAGTAAATCCCAACTAGGTTGGCACCTACTCACCTATATCACTATCATTTGCAATTATTTCCAAAATAATTCTTTACAAATTTTAAGCTAAGATATAAAAACTACAATCTATTCTTTATATCATCTGCTAGTCCCAATTCTTCAAATTTATCTTCAATTCCAGCCATCCGATCGATGCCTTGCGTTCGCTTCTCGTACCTCCACCAATCTTGTAAGCACATCACCGCTTGTACAGTATACGGATCCAAGCATGTCCTGTGATCGTCGATCAAACGACCTGCTGTGCTGAAGGCGGATTCCGAAGCTACCGTCGAAACCTGCACTGTTAGTAAATCACGAACCATGGTGGAAAGTATAGGATATGAAACTGATCCATATACTTTCCACCATTGCAAAATATCTAAAGCATTTCCTTGACATCTAACTAAAGAAGCAGAAAAATATTCATCTATTTCAGAAACCTCCGATGATGACGATCCAAGTCCAGATCCCCCAGTTAGCTCAGCTACCATTGCATACCTATCAAAACTTACACTTTTACCTCGGGCTCGGGATGAGCTCGAAGAAACCGAAGTTGTAGACTGTTGTGCAGCTACACCATGTCTAGCTGCATACTCATCATATAAGGTTTGAAAATAATTTCTAATAAGTAAATGATGAGTAGTAGCATTCAGGGTGGTTCCATCATCTAAGTCTATAACCTGTCCACCATACAATGACTGTAACAAACTTCGAAGGCCAATATCCTTCAAGCATGGATCAATAAGAACCCCCAAACCAAAAATATGAGGAATAGGCCTAAAGTACTTATTAAATTTGCTCTCCATTTCAAAAACCATAGGTCCAAAAGTAGCATCCAAACGATATTTATCAAAAAAATTTTGAATATTTAAAATTTGTAAAGCAGCTAAAGTAATGGTTGGATAATAACAGCCAGATAATAACATTGTAGCATCATAAAAAACTTGTAACATTTCATTTAAATTACATATAACTGTCCATTCATCTTCAGTTATTCCATAAGTGCTACCAGAACTAGAACTAGAAGCATAATAGTTTATAAAATCAGTTATAATGTCTTTATATTCTATTGCTACACTTAACATTGCATATGTGGAATTCCACCTATGGTCAACATCTTTTGGAATTAGTCTAGGCTTTACATTTTTTCTTTTACAAAATTGTTTCCATCTTTTAAGTCTTTGTTCAGAAGCACTATGCATGTAAGCAACTGTTCTAACCTTTTCTATCATGGGTTTAATTTCAGTAAATGCACTTTGAACAATTAAATTTAAAATATGACAGATGCACCTAATATGAAAAAGATCACCATGACATGGCAATGATAAAGATGATCTGATAAAATCAACAGCTACATTGTTATTACTTGCATTATCTAGTGAAAGAGAAAATATTCTTTGTGAAATTTCTAATTTCATAAGTTCTTCAATTATTAAATTTGCAACATTAGCACCAGTATGTGACTCTTCTATTGCAATAAAAGAAACAACTCTTTTAAACATTTGCCAATTTTCATCAATCCAGTGTGCTGTGATACATAAATATCCAGTTTGTGCTCTAGATGTCCAAATATCAGAAGTTAAAGAAAATTTACAGTTTAAATTTTTAAAATAAGAAATTATTTTTTCTTGTTCTTGCTGATAATATTTTAAAATATCACGTTGACAGGTTTGACGAGAAAATTTTTTAAATGCAGGATAAAAACCATCTCTAAACATATCTTCAAATTCATCATCTTCTACTAATTTAAAAGGAAGGTTTTTAAGAATGATAAACCTGATTACGCATTTCCTGGCTCTGGCAGCGTCATAGTTCCAACTACCGAGACTACCAGAAGAGGAGGATTGAGAAATCATGGATTGTCGGATATCACCTTGAGGAGGCTGGCCTTTGTTGTGTTTATCTAAATGGCGTTTGAGGTGGTTGGTGCCGCTCTTATGATGAGCTTGAAAAATCTTGCCGCACAAAGCACACTTAGCCTTCTGGGTGAGGATCCTACCGTGTTCATCCTTGGTGACGTCGATCTTCTCGTAAAAATTCCACACATCGGATCTTGGCCGTTTAGGAGCTCTTGGTGCAGATTCGTCGCCACCGGATTCGGGATTAACTTCGGTAGGAGGACTGATAGTAGGAGGACTCATAGTAGGAGGACTCAATTCAGGATCGGGAGATATGTTTTGCTCTTCATAATCAGATCCGGAAGCCATTTGGGGATTGGATTAGAAAGTATAAATAAGAGAGTATAAGAGTATAAGAGAGAGTATAAGAGTATAAGAGAGAAGAGATGAGTTTTTGGTGTGAAGAAAACAAATGAAAACCCCCCTCTATTTATAGAACCAGCCCCCTAGGTAAATGACCAAAATAACCTCACAAAATAGCCGTTTTTTGACCGTTTTTGAGGGCAAAACGGTCAAAGGGCCAATCTGACCGTTGTTACCGGGCCGGCCCGGCCCGGCCCGGCCACAACGCGGCCACCTTTGGTGACCGTTTGTGGCCGGGCGGGCGGCGCCGGCCCGGCCCGGGCTTTTCACACAACGGTTTCATCATTGGTGACCGTTGTTGGGGCGCCGGGCCGGGCCGGCTTCATTTCCGGCAACGCGTCACGAGTTGTGACGCGTTGCCACACGGGCCGGGCTCCGCGGCCCGGGCCTGCCCGGCCCGGATGTTGCCCCGGCCCGTACGTTCCGGTCCGGGCCTGGCCCGGCCGGGCGCGGCTGAAGGCACCCGGACCCGGGCCCGGAACCGGCCTGGCTCCGGATTTCGGCGCCGGGGCTCCGGCGCGGCCGGGCCGTGGCCCGACCAGCGGGCCTAAAATGGACAGCCCTACAAACATATTAATAAACTTTTATCTATTATATGAACTATTTTTCTTTGATGTTATCTGTGTTTTCTCGTATTTGTTTCATATACTATATATATTAGAT